GAGACGTATTTGCAGTTCAGACTTCCTTTGGGCCCTTCCCCTTACAATGCACTACCCAGGCACGCGATTTAGGAGTCATCATGACGAGCAGCTTCAAGCCTTCGATGCAATGTCGATATGCCGCCAACAAAGCGCGACGAGAATTGTTTCGCCTCAGGAGGGCTCTGTGTAATACCAAGCCAGAAGTGTTCCTGTCACTATACAAAGCAATGGTTAGGCCACACTTAGAGTATTGTGTTCAAGCTTGGTCGCCCTATCTCCGTGGTGATGTTCTTTGCCTGGAGAAGATTCAAAGACTAGCAACCAGGATGGTTGAAGATCAATGGGGGAAGCCGTATGAAGATCGCCTAAAGAGCCTGGGGTTGTTTTCCCTTGAACGGCGTTGACTGAGAGGCGATCTGATAGAAACATTTAAGATCATGAAGGGCCTCAGTGCCATCGTGCCCTCTGATTTATTTGAGCTGGCTGATTCTGAACACTTGCGTGGACATCGCTTGAAGCTCAAACAGCAGAGGGCTAGACTGAACGTCAGGGCTAAGTTCTCGAATCGTGTAGTGCGCAACTGGAATAAGTTGCCTTCGGAACTAATGGATTGTGAGACTGTGGTTGCCTTCAAAGCAGGCCTAGACAGGTGCTGGCCGCGTATATTTCCGGAATTAATATAATCCTATCCAATTTATTCGCATTGATATCCGATGTTGATCCTTGTAAAAGCAAAGATTGCTCTCGCTTTTGCTTCATTTCTTTTTGCAGAGACAAGGAGAGGCGATCAAAAGTTGAAGTGCCGGGGGCACTGGTTCGCTTACCGGTACAAGAAGCTGGACGCTCGTTAGGCGGAAGCCTGTATCGTCCACGGATTTTGACCTGACCTGACCTGACCTCTCTTAATTAAAAAGTGTGAAAAGTTGGCGGAAACAGTTGAGCAACTGGTGAACGCTCGCAACGCAGCTGTGAAAGTAAAAAACGCTATACTTGCAATTGAACGGACAATTACAAACTCCCCGTTTAGGCCGAGGAAGAGGGCCAGGCATCCCGACCACACCATCGCGTCTCAGTCTCCAACGGCCCCTAGCCACATGACTCTACCAAGTGAAAAAATCGTATACAATGCACTTTCTTCTATGTTCTCCAAGGGTGTAATAACTAGTAATTCAGTTGACATACTCGACACACAAAACTCCAGCAAGCCCACGGTAAAAAATAACTAGACATCCCAAGCAGCAGTTGCTTCTAGGAAAACGCCGTCAAAGACACCTGTGACTCCAATTATCGGAGAGGTCAAAACGGTGCCTCAAAATGGATCGCTATCGCCAGTGCGGTTCACAAATCCACAAAAAGCAAAAGAACCTAGTGTCGTTAAGTCGCAATTCACAAGGCGCAGTTATGGTGCCTTAAGTCATGTGTGCACTAATGTTCCTGAATCCAAATCCAACACAATAAAGGGCAAAAGGATAGACGATCGTAGTTAGTGGGATTCCATCTGTAGTGCCATCAGCATGCGCACTGAACCCACTACGCTAAGCCGCATCGCAAGACACCCAAACAACTTACACTTTGGTGAACCTCGACTACTTCGAGTAACACCAAATTCCGCGGAAGAAACGGAATCAATTCTGCTCGCTGCAAATCAACACCACAGAGCATCGAACGGAGTATGTATCTTACCGGATATTCCGTGGAAAGAACGTTCAAAGGATATCAACATTCAACAGGGAAGTAGAAAACACGCGCTGCAAACCGTCATTATTCATGGCGTCCCCGAGTCGCAAGCTTCATCTCCTGAAGAAGCTCAGCACATGACCTGGAGCAATGGTGACACATTCGTGAGGCGTTATCTTTAGAAAAGTCATTGCAACCGCCCTGACCAGGGTTCCCGTGTCACCAAATGACAAAGGGTGGGGTCCTAGGTTGCTGAAGTTGGTCTTGTCGTCTGAGCTAACTTTACAGATAGTTCTAGAGAATTAGGGTAACTTCCGAAACATGATAGCAACAGAAATAGGGCTAAAAGCAGCAGGTTTGCGACCAGAAGCTACTGATTAGTCAATGGATAGAACCAACGCAGTGGGAACAACCGTTGTTGCAGAGTCGACCACAGAGACTGATCTGACAGCCGTCATAGCATCC